GCAGGTAGTATAACCCAAGTCAAAAAATTGTTACTAAAATTTGTACATTTACAGTATAACCTTTTTATTATTTTTATTAGAGACTTTAAAAAAATGAATCTTATTTTCAAAATATAATTAACCTTATGAACGTATTACATCCAACAGTGCACCTATCCTAATGAATTTACCATCATAATAAACTGTAATAATTCCCTTAAACAAACTACATGTTATCTTGTACACATACTTACATCTCTCTGTAATTACGCCTAATAGCATCTTAAGTTATTTTTGTTAATTACCATTATTAGCAAAGTAACACCTTTTGTTTTCTCTAGACTCCAGAAAACTAGAAGACAGGAAAACAAGAACTATCTAGCTATTTTTCGCCATTAGTTTACATTTAATATTATCTTTTTATATTTAAATACATCACCCATCTGGTTAATTTATAGCTATTTTAAATGAATAAGGACTAAATTACAAGTAGGCTTAGTGACCAAAGTTTAAAACTTTTTAAACTTAGAAAAGTGTCCAGTACCCAGAAATACTTATCCACGAACTCAACATTTGAGGCTTTACAAAAGTTAAGGATCTAAAAATTACAATTTTAGCTAAAACATGGTCTTTATGATTACTACTGCTATAAAGATTATAAAATCGAAACCCCTACAGGGTCTCAGCTTGAGCTGTGGCATAAAGGCATCCCCCACCTAATTGGAAAGTCTGTTCCCCATTGTCCTTTAAGGCTGATAATATTGTCACTCCCTTTAATTACTCTGAGTCACACACCCAGTGAGAAGCGGGAGCTAGGCAGACAGAGATGAAAATGTCAGCATTATTGTTCATAAGAGCTAGATGAGGGAGGCAGCTCTGCACCCACCATTGGGAGGCCTCCCTAATACTAACACCCCCTGAATACAGGCTGTGCCCACCACTGCCAGGGGCAGAGCTTTCATGAGACCCGACAGGGTTCTTTAGGAAGAACTGCCAGCGGCGCCTGGGTGGCTGTTGTTAAGCGTCTGCCTTCGGCTCAGGTCATGATCCCAGGGTCCTGGGGGCGAGCCCCACATCGAGCCCCTTCCTGCTGGGCGGGAAGCCTGCTTCTCCCTCTCCCACTCCCCCTGCTTGTGTTCCCTCTCTCGCTGTCTCTCTCTCTCTGTCAAAAAAAAAAAAAAAAAAGGAAGAAATGCCAGCAAACCGAGGCATCCAGTGATCAGGGTGACATGCTGAGCTCTTAAAATACAAATGATTGTCAATTTTTGGTCACAGATTTCAGCTGAAAACTACCCAAGCATTCCGATGGCCAGGTAGGGAAAACCTGAACGGGCTTTCCCGGACTAATCAGACAAGGGAGCCCCAGAGATGGGCCAAGCTGCTCTTCCAGCTTCAGAAATGTCCCACAGGAATGAAGGTGGAGAAAGGAGATGGGTGACCTATAGGCATCCAGGAGGACTCTTGCTGAATTGTCCCAGAAGGATTGGGGTTGAAAGTCAGAGTCAAGGGAGTCAGGTCGTCCATTGACAGATGAATGGATAAAGAAGATGTG